AAAGAGAGAGGGTGAGGGAGAGAGAGGGAGAAAGAGAAAGGGGTAGTTGCTATTCGTCAAGCTTTTAATTCGTGATACGACCACTTACCTCCGTCGCATCCACGGCGGTTCACACCCTGAAATCTTGACTAATTTCCCATTTCGCGCTCGGCCGCGATTTTCTGCTGAGAAAGGCGTCAAAACGCTGAAAAACTTATCGCGATAAACCATTTCAAGATTTTCACGTTGATTCTTGTTTATTAATATGAATTACATTACTGATATATAATATTAAAAATATAAGAAATGACAATGTCATATGTGAGGTAATAAATATATATTGTATAATTATAAACGATGTTAATGATGATTTTAAGAGGACATTATCAAAATGCTCAAAATTGGTTAATAAATTACGTGTATATATACATATATATATAAGTAGAATTACGTTATATACACCTTTTTTGTAGGTTTTTTTAAGGACTTATTGGCAGCCAGCAAACGAGGCTTTCATGAGATGTTCAAGAAGACCTACGGTATCCTTTATGAACAGAACGCGTATGTCTTCACGGACTTCTTCAACGAGCTGGAGAATTACTACGCGAAGGGAACAGTGAGTATCCTTATTTCTTTCACGTGTTTTTTAAAAGCATTTCAATTTTACAACGTTAAACAAGCATAATATATAATATAAATAAAACGAGTCACAAAATTTTATTTTACTTTTTATTGAAAATTATATATATATTTATATATATACAGGGTATCCTAGAGTTACCGCACCACCTGTTAATGGCAGATTCTTGAGATCATTTGGAGACGATTTTTTCTCATTTTTCCTCAGCGAAATGTCAAGAGAGATCATCATTTTTTGCAAGTTTCAAATTTTTTTCATCACATATCTTTGTAACTAAACCTTAAATTAAAATTCTCTCTCTCTCTCTCTCTCTCTCTCTCTCTATTAAAATAAACTCTGTCTAAAATTAACTAAAAACTAAAGAATGTAATTTTAACTTTTTATAAAGTTTAGTTTGCAAAAAGCATTTCTTTTTGAATCGCTTATAAAACGGAAATTATTGATGTCTTGATATTTTTGCTGAGGAAAAATCATTTTAAAATGATCTCAAAAATTTGTCATTAGTAGGTGATGCGGAAATCTTGGGACACCCTGCATATACGCAGATTTTTATCAATTTATATTAAAACGGCTTTTACAATATATTTAGTCTGTGTTATGCTATATTCAGAACAAGTTTTACATTTCTGAACGGAACAGTCTCTTTTATTTTTAGAAGATTTGGTTTTGTGGAATTACATCTTTCTAACGTTAAGCAATTCATTTACTTCTCGTTTGATGTCGCATAGTGCTGCTGTGTAGCACCGGTGAAAATTGCAATTGCGCGTTTATTTTCTCGCCATCTTTCGCTCTTTTTTACTTTTCGCCTTCGTCTAGTGTCTAGTGTATTAAACGCGAATAAATAAGACGCTGGACCATTTGAAGCAAATTTCTAGATCTACCAAGACGTGTCCCGGAATCTAAAGTTTATTACAAGCCGTTCCGCGCAATTACGTTCGACGAAACCTTTTCGGAGTATTAGATAAGAAACATAAGATGTTAGGAAACGATAAGTGAAGGTATAGGAATTCAATACATTTTATTTGAAAATATATATTTATATACAAGCACATATTTATGTAAAGCAGCTTTATGTAGCATTTATTTAAAACAATATTTTTGGTATTGTGTATTAATAATCTATCGTGTGTGTATGCTTTGATATTTTTTAATTATTTTCTAATTTGATAGATTTGCAAAAATTTCAAATTATTTACTTAAAATTACGAAAAAAGTATAATTTTGTAAAATAATATAATTTTATATATATGTTTCCCCCTCCCCTTCCCCACTCCAACTCTATTCATCCGAAATATTTCTGTTATTTTAAACAATAAAAAAAGATTTAAGCTAGAGGATTTTACGGCTTCGAGATACGAGATGTCATATGGCATTAGTTTCGTTATGATTGTAGGCATAAAGGAGCCTTGAAGCTTTACTTTTTTTTTAAATGACCATTTTTTTTATGGTAAGATTGAATTTTTCGCAGAACAGCGTTTCGTGCAATCGGGAAAACCGTAACGATTTCTCGTGTTGGATATATGCGTATCGACTTTTATTCCATCCTTTTCGAGCTCGGAAGTTTCTATTAGAATTGCTACGCAAGCAACCCCTTGTCTATAACGTTTGGCCTGCGTTGCCGAAAATTGAGGTGGACTCGCATACGAAGGCAAGTTTAATCAAATCCTTTGTCCATCGTGACCGTTGTCTCTAAAGGCACCATCAGCCAAGGTAAAAGTATTCTGCTATCGGACCTTTGAAGAGTCCCGTTATACACCTTTTTATAAGAAAATATAAATGTTGTTATATCTATACCTATCTACTATCTGTCGAAGATCTTCCGTAATTACACTGCAATTTATTGAATTTTACGAGCTCGCTGTGTTGGGAACACAATGGAGCGAAGTGTCGTTAATAAATTTATCGTATTAATCTGTCGCATCGTTCTTAATTCACAAACGTCGTACGCGAGACATATATCTCTTGGCGAACACGGCTCCGAAATCAATATTTTTATAAAGTGCACATCTTGCAGTATGTTGAAATTAATTATAATTTATCTAATCGATTTTTTTTTACACCATATGCGTGTCGTATTTCCGAAACTTTGCACAAAGCATACTGTACAATTGAACGATAATAGCGCAGCTCAACATAAAAAGTAACTTTTTTCGAACACAAAAAAGAGAATTATTAATATTCTTGGTTTTTTTTTTAACTGTGTAATTGAAAAGTATTATACGAAAAAGATATTGTTGGACTGTTTTTGATATTAAATATGCCGAACGAATGTAACTCATATTTTATTTCATAACTTGAAAAACGTGTAGATAATCAGATTAAGGATGTATGTGTCATATGTCAAAGCATTGACAAAGACATGAAAAATTCCTATACTGTTCTATTTCTTCTGAATATCTGTGCAGAATCCCTGAGTACAATTTAATAGTAATTTAATAATAATTCTCTAAACGGTTTGGAAATTATTTAAGTTTAAGTTTGTATTGATTCTTATGAAAAAGCGCGTATTGTAACACTTATTGACAAATTTGACAAGGAAAAAACATTGCCAGCGAAAGAAAACTTTTTACATATATTAACAAAACTTTAATAAATATTTGTGCAAAACTTGATTTAGATCCACTCATTTAAAAGTTATTTACTAAAAATTGTAGAAATATACTGTAATCCGAAATCTTTTTGTAAATTACTTGGTTTTTTTGTTTCTTACAGTTGATTTCAGGAGATATTCACGATCAAAGTTTCTGTCATAAATTAGGACAAATATTAATTACAACTTTTTCTTTTTATATAGACATTAAAAATATATATTATTTTATGTAAATCTTTATATATATATATAATCCGGATTTATTTAAGTATAAATGAAAGAAATATTTTTTTTTGTTTCAATAGCTTTTTGCTACTATTGTACAGCTAAAATATCCATCCTTGCCATATCAACGTTAAGAGGATGCCGGATACCGACAGAATGCGAATATTAGTAGGATTGCAAAATATTTTTGTCGATTATAGATATCAACAAATCCTTTTCCATATAAAAGCATGATTTGGGACGAGAACATTCACGAATTAAATACATTGAGTTTATTTGTTCTTTCGCTTTTCTTCTTTTCTTCTCTTATTCGCGATATACAATATCACAGCGGCGAAATTGAGTTCTTAGTGGGCGTTCTTGTATTCTAATTGTGCGAGTAATTGCTAGGAAGTCATTAATATTCCATTGAGCCGTCGGGTTTGGCGTCTCGGTTGTCGACTTTCGATTAATCCAAGTTATGATCGGGTCCAGCTAAATTTGTTTAAGGCTACGAGAACTGAATGCCGAAGTAAACGGAAAAAGCGCGAGTCGCTCTCTGAATAATGGAATTATCGAATTATCGAATTATCACTGACAACTTGCGATTAATACAGCTTGATGGCGATTATATGTATCGGGATCAAATTTATTTATGTAAATTGAGAGAACATGTTATACAATTCTTTGTACAACAATTATATTTTATGTACAATATTTAGTACTTCTCAAAGTTGTGTGTATATTTTTTTCATTGAAAGAAAATTGTACTCCTATTTTACGGCATTTAAACGTAATAAATCTATCAATGTTAACTCTATAATTAAATTAAAAACAGATTAGTACACACGATTTAACATCGTTTATCAAGTGTCTTTCTCTCTTTAAGGGGTACTTGAGAAAATGGATTGATCAAAACTCTTTATACGTGTTTGTCTCTAAGATAAATCAATCAATATGATAGAATAATAACAGAGAGTAATGTATACGTATGTATGTAAGATTAAAATTATTACTCGTGCATTTCAGGTGGATCTCGACGAAGCCATGGACAATTTCTTCAACACCCTCTATCAGAAAATGTTCACCGTGCTCAACAGCCAATACAACTTTGACAATAAATATCTGGAATGCGTGGGTGAACACATGAAAGAGATGCGGCCGTTCGGGGACGTGCCGCAGAAATTGGGCGTGCAGATCAAACGATCCTTCGTCGCCACGAGAGCCTTCAGCCAAGCTCTAACGGTCGCCGCGAACGTTCTGAAAAATATGCAAACGGTGAGAAATCTGATGAAACGTCAACGTCAAGATGACGAGTCGATTTAACGCTAACTCGAATTTATTTATATATATATATATATGTATACAGGGTGGTCCTCGTAACGGTCGCCACGATTTTTAAGGCACTTACAATAATCTGACATAAAAAAGTCATAAACAGAAATTTATCAGTTTCTAACCGGCAACAAAT